GCCCTCTTGGCCCAATTATAGTCTAACATATTCTTATATATATGTTGCTTGCCCCCAGCTAGGGCTGTAAATGAATCGGATCTGTCTAAATTTGATCTGATCCGTTAAGAATAATTATCTGATCCGATAATCTAATAGATATTTGATTGTTAAATTTATATCCGATTTACTATGTTATCGGATACTTGATCCGAAATTGAAAAAATTAGAAATTTTAAATTTTTATATTAGTCAACTCTAAACCCTAGAGTTAAAAGGTCCAAATAGCTTTTTACCCAATTCTTAGCTCATTTAGTTATAGATTGTAAATTTTATGATATTTTAGTGAGTATCGAATATGGGAAGTGATAAGTTCAGAATAAGTAAAGTAACTCCAACTGTTGGCTTCGTTGGTCGTTTAATTTATAAAATAAATAAATTATTATTTTTATCTTATTTTAATAATTAAAAAAAATTAAATCTCTTCAAAACTTTTAATTAGCAATATTATACTATTATCTAATATTATTTATTATTTGAAAATTATGTGTAAAGTATAATATAAATTTCAAAATAGAAAAAATTATGTGTAATAAATCATGGGATAATATTTAAAATATATTATATTATTATAATAAATTGGAATGGATTGTTATCGGATCGAATTGATTTATATCCATATTTGTTTCATTTAGTTAACAGATTATCAGATTCGAATCTTGATCAAGTTATCGGATTGAAACTCTAAATATATTTCTCATTAATTTTATCGGATTCGGATCAAAATCCAATCCATTGACAGCACTATTCCCAGCCCTTTTTTGTGTGATATTGTGAAGAAAAGAAAGAAACCTGCTGCTTGCTTTGTGCTTAGACAACGATGGTTGTCCCTTTGCCATCTTCTTCATCTTTGTGCTTTGTTTTCATTGATTTTCTCTTTACCTTTGTGGTAGCAAATCAATACCAAATATCTTTCCTCAGTGGGTGAAATTGAGAAGCAATCGAGGTGAATATTGATTATGGGTTGAACGGTTTAGATTAGTTGTTCGTAAAGAAAAATAGCGTGAAACGGAACCAGAAAATCACCGAATAGAAGATTTTGGAGCGAGCTTCCAAAATAGTAAGCTAATGGACATTCTGCAGCGGGTCAGTTTCGAGCCAGAGTGAAGATAGATGAGAAGAATTAATCATTCGGATCTATACACTTTTTTAATTAAACCTACAAACTATTGGTCCTATGAGTGAATGAATCAAGACCTGAAAACCGAATAGATCATTTTATTTCTGTTTCATTTTCCAGCTGAAAACCCAGAAAGCTACCGAAAACCTATATTTAATTATTTATAAAGTAAAAACGAACTAACATGGATGGTTCATCGAAAACCATATAAACAGAATAGAACCATACTCAAAAGTAAATGACAACAATAAAATTAAGAATTTATACTATTCCAATGGTGTCATTTTTCTCTATTGCAAAGGCAAAGTTGTTTGCATGTTTTCCTATGGTGCCCATAGTCGCCGATTTATTCCTTGACTTACCTCTCCCCTTCATCATATCTAATTTAGCCTTCTATCACTTGGGTAAGTGCAAGTGTACAAGCAGCCTTCCACCCTATATCCTTGGAGGCATAACCTGCGATTTACCTCCCTCACGATACTCTAGGGCAGGGGTGGTGGGGGACCCTTAAAGTTAGGGTTTAACCTTTTAATTTAGCCTTCTATCAAGTTCTTTTTAGTTGTCTTTTTCGAGTAGTAGCACAAACCAGTTTCGGTCTGAATCATCCGACATTACCCAATTAATATGATATTATTAAGATTTGGGTTTCCATATTAAAATATTAACATTTTTAAGATGTAACCCAAGTCTATAAATTAATCTATGTTTTTATCTTTATTCAATGTGAAATTAAATCCCTTAACATACCACCACAAAATGGTGGCTCGTTTGAGCTGACCAATCTTGAAATTTGTGTATTCATTTTTAAGTCTTAATTAGATCAAATTACTAGTTAAAAGTTGGGGTTCCATTTTAAAAGGTCAACATTTTTAAGCCCTCGTTTGGCCCTCATTTTATAAAAATGAAAATGGGTGGAATAATATTGTTTTGAAAAATGAGTGGTTGAAAAAGAAGAAAAAGTTTTCGATTTACGTGTAATATTATTTTATGAAAAATTGTGTGGTTGAAAATAAGAGAGAAAAATAGAATGTAGTGGAATGAAAATTAATGGGGGCTAAGATGAATAATATAAATCCTTATAAGTTGTTCAATGTTTTCATTTTTATTCGATATAAAATTTTATCCCTTAACAAACATGTTTGAAATCCATATTGGATTAATGTTGTTATCAACCTCATATGTATTGTTAGGATATCTCTTCTCCGATCAATCTTTACCTACGTATGTACCATATCTGATATCACTAAGTTTATTATTTCTCCGTGAAATCGCAAATTTCCCGTGAATTTGCAACCCATAATGACATTCATTTTTATGTCTACATGGTGTTAAACATGCATATGGATCACGTTGATTCAATTTCTACAAAATGGCATAACATTCTTGCAAATCAAGTAACAAGTCACAAACAACAAATGCAACATATAGTCTTACGAAGGAGTGTACCGTACATCAAATTTTCGGTAGCTAAGGCAAACTTTAGAAGATGGGGTTCTAAGTAGTATTATGTATTCAATTTTCTTTTATTTTTTTTTTATTTTTTTCATTCATAATAATTTTACGTAACTAAAAAATCTATTAGCTTAAAACTCAACAATAAATGGCAAACAATTTATAGTACAATTAAATAATAAAGTAAAAAATGTTCTAAATTATCAATTAAATACTGTTGGCCTTACAATTTATTTTATAACCAAACAACAAAAACATTATTTCTATCATTTGATCATTTTCACAAGTTATTTTTAGTCATTTAATAGCTCTCATGTCACAAAGAGCTTTGTGCAGTTGGTAGAAAGAGTTGCATTAAAAATAAAAATAAAAAATAAAAAAATTGCCAATTTTATTTTTTTTTAAATGTTAATAAAACATTAAAAATTTTCAATTTTGAGTTGAAGGTATATAAAACAGAATAAGATATGAAAAAAAAAAAACATTTTTCATGGAAAACAAAACCAATCAAATACACTTTAATATTTTTCAATTTTTGTGGAAACGGTAACCTTAATTAACGTGAGAATGGATTGAAGTCATTTTGTAAGTTTAAACCAAACATTATGTAGTTTGGGATAAAAAATTTGGGTTAGTATTTTCATAATTTCTATTTTGTTGGGAGGTTATATGCGACACTTCCCTTCTTCAGCTGAATAATAAAGTAGATGTGATCAACCTCAGTTTGATTCGCCTTTTAGCCCCCATTAATTTTCATTCAATTACATTTTATTTTTTTCTTCTATTTTCAACCACACAATTTTCTATAAAATAATATTATACGTAAACCAAAAACTTTCCTTTTTTTTTTCAACCACTCATTTAAAAAAAAAAAAAAACATTATTCCACCCATTTTTATTACCACAAAATGGGGGCCAAACGAGATGTTAAAGTCGGTTTATATAAACATGTGAGGATGTCTTAATATTAAAATATTTTACGAATAGTACTTTTATAAATTGTGTGTTTGTGTTCGTGTTTAGTTAGGGATGTCAATTGGGTCGAGTTGGCTCGACTCGTCAAAGCTCGGCTCATGGGCTGTCGAAAAAAATTTCACGAGCTCGCGAGCTGCTCGTGGGCTCGGCTCGGCCCACGAGCTCGTGACTCGTGATTACACGAGCTCGTGGGCAGAGCCGACCTCGCCCAAGAGCAACGAGTTGAGCTCGAGCTCGGCTCATGAAAAACGAGCCACGAGCTCAGTTCGTCACAAGCCCGAACCGAGCTCGTGGGTTAACGAGCCAAGCCGACTCTACTCGGCCCATTGTCATCCCTATGTTTAGTTTGGAGTTTTCTCAATTCCCAATCAAAGAATAAAGTTAATAATTGCAAATTAAACTAAATAGAAATAAATCACGCATAGCCACATACATATTTTCAAAGCCAAGAGGATGAATTACTTTAGTCGTGCACATCAATAATTGACAATTTTTTTTTTTTTTTTTTTTTTTTTTATGGGTGTTAAGAGGTAGACTGGGCACCTTCTATGAAAAGCCCTATTGTACCTACCACTAATATGTAATATGCGCAACAACCACTGCCATTTATGGAGTGTCAACAAGGGTGAGGCATAATTTTAATCTAAGAATTTTTATTAAAAATCTATTATGCTTTTTAGTAGAGTAAAGAAATACAAAATAAAACTTCAATTTTTATTCTTGCTTTTTACTTGTGAAGGAAGAGATTGTGCTAGTAAATAGTCAGTCAACATAAAACAATATAGCAAGACCTAACTTATCATTGACTTCGAATTCTTGTGAATTGTGATCGAGGGTTAAACTTTGAATACATACATTATTTTTGTTTTTAACTCATCACGGCCAACTATAACTTAGTTTAAACCCAACTTTAAACTCGAATTCAACTTTATAAACACTCAATTTAGCCTCGAGGCTCGAGCCTAGCTTGAGCTTCAATTTGAGTACTCTTCTTTTGTGTTTCGAAATAAGCTCGATCCTCCTTATTAAAGCTGGACGTATAACATATTTCTCTGTTCAATAAAGCTATTTGTACATCCGGATTTGACACCCCGGATGACACTCCCCTCACAAGAGAGGGGGCCCACACATAATAAATTAATTGCGGACCCTCCTCTTGTGAGGGGGGTGTCATCCGAGGTACAAATAGCGAAGTCCTTCTCTGTTATCGTCCACTAAACATGTCGTTAGTGTCCCATCAAGACCACGTTCACAATACATGATGCTTTGGAAATAAAGGGGGAGAAAAGGAAAAAGGATAAGAAGGTCCTTTTCGCTGTACACAAGAAAACAAGAGAAAGATAAAGTGAAAATTGACTATAAAATATTGGGAATTGGATGCACAAACAAGGCCAAAAACACATACCACCCGTGATTAAGAATAAAAGGACATATTCTGCAAAGGATTGTATTTATGCGCATAAACTGTCGGTAGAACAAACTTTAAATACAAATAAAATAATTGATATACAGTTAATGTGTATTAACTATAATAACAAAAATAAACAAGAAAACTTTCCCCTCCTCTAGGGTTCTACTACAATGCAGCCATCGTCCGGTCGCCTCTTTATTACGAATGAAACGAGTGTTTTGATGTGTGCTCACCCTTTTTGCATCGTCGTTTTCCTTTCCAGTTTTTATCATTTTCTTGAAAAATAAAAATTTATTGACAGTCTTGTCCAAAAGCTCCAAGCATTGTACATGCCATTTCCAGTAACTTCCCTGCTTAATATTAAGTCTGTCAGCTTATGCAAAATCATAAAACTTCGAAAACAAAAGAATTCAGCACCATGATCAAGTTTTCTGATGGGTTCGAATCTATTTGTCATGTATCATAACAACAAATTAAGGTCTTATTTCCAATAAAACTAGGATTCACCTACATGAATCTTTTGCGTTCATCGCTAGTTTCACAATAATATTCAAAGCAACTAGATGATTCGCAGTCACAACACTCCACCCCCACCCCCCCTTTTTTCTCTTCCAGCCAAGAATGAGATGATAATGAGACCAAATCCTGGCTAAGCTGGAATTGTAATTTATGATAGTCGAACGAACGCAAGACATATGGACGACCACACGACCCTAACTAAATCCATTGGGTCAGTTTCCCAACCCCAGGTTAACTCTTACTAGTTACTACAAGGTTTTTGGTTCATGGTGTCAAGCACAATTAAATTACCAACCTCTTTCACAATTCAATGACAAAATCCATAAACATTATGTCATAGAACTTGAAAGAGCCATATCTCAAAAGCTAGTTATTAAAGTTGAAGAGCCCAAACCTATAAAAATCGCACAAAGGAAGCCCATACTTCCGACATGGGATTCAAACCCCCATGAGTTCCACCGGAACCATGACACATTATTCAATGTTTAAACTGTGTCTCAAGTGAACAAGTTTTCCACCATCCAAGGCATAATAAAAACCCCATACCAAATCCAAGTAGTGTATTAGTTAGATAACTTCAATAAATTTGTAATCGATCACATCAAGCTTTATCGATACTTTACATGGATTGAAAGTCAAAAGAAACTATATCCTTAACTACGACACGTTACAGATTTATACCTTAACCACTAAGCAAATTATTGGTAAATTCAGCAAAAAAAAGAGGCAACATCCAAGAGTGGCAGCTGTAAAGTATAATGTAAAGGATTCCTTTTGACCCACCACCACTAGCAAATGCAACGAACAATAATACAGCCAACTACACCCACCAGAATTTATGCGCATTGAAGACAGGTCTTTTCGTGGTACTTTCTTATGAGAAAAATAGTTTCAACGAGACATATCCATGAATTATTTCTTGCCTAACAATTTAAGCTTTAAGATGTCGTGATTCAATAAGAAATCCAACAGGCCAGTCGGAAAAAATTTAGAATCCAATCTCATATGAATAACGAAATCAAGAACAATTGCAATGCATAGGCAAACTTAAAACTCAAAATAAATGGCTAAAAAACATACCTCTTCTTGGCTTGGAGACGACCTTAGCAACAGGGACAGATTTAGGAACAGGCTTGTTTTCCTCTGCAGGAAACAAAACCCCATCAATTCCCTGAACAGATATTCTCCCATCCGTGTAGATATCCGGGTCGAACAAATAAGCGGATCCTTCTCCTTGCCCGAATTTCACCGACCCGTCAGCCTCCTCCGCTACCACTTTATGTGGCAATCTCAGAGTATCATACTTCACCTTCCCAAATCTCCTAACTGAATTGTACATACTCTCTTCTGTTTGGTATTCAGGAATTAAATGATAATACATTATCTGCTCCGGTGCCCCAGGTTCGCTTAATTGATCGGTGGTTAGTTTCGCCATAGCCTCGTCATTTGGTGCAAGAACTGTAAGAACATACCCTTCGGAGACTAATCTTCCCATTTCAGAAGCCAATGATGTGAGATTGACTAAAATATCGGCCATTTCATTGTATCCACCGTAATGGAGGAGAGTTTGGATGAAATCCTTCACCTGACTTTCGCCGTCGAAATGGTGGTGATGTCCACCGGGGCCAGGCGCCGGTGCCGGAGCCAGGGATGGACCTGGTGCCATGGCGTCGAAAATGGGCAGCACAGGTGGCGCACCGGCTTCGACTGGAGGTGCCGGTTTCTTTAGCCGGTGGGTTCTTGGGTCGACTTCCGGTGCTCCCTCTGGTAACACTGCAGCTATGGACCTCAAACTTCGCCTAGTGTTGAAATCTATTTGAACGGATTTTGGAATCAACACTCGTTCAATTCCGTGAATAATCCCATCGGGGCGAATGATATCGTCCGCTTTGATAATCTTCGCCATACCCAGAAATTTCTCCCCATTTTTCCCAAATACCGGAATTTTTTCTTCATCGGCATCAGTACACAAGCTGATATGATGAATTGGATTGTTTAACTCTACAGGCCAATGCTTGGACTCAAATCGAGTTGGAATCATATGGAAAAGCAACAGATTTTGAAGGGATTTCAGATTCCCCGGCTCGAGCAAGAACCTCTTGAACTCGGGATCCAAATCCCGTTCCAGCGCCTCATTTTTAGGAGCAAAAATGGTTATATTATGCTTGGACACTGCTTCTTCAAGGGTTTGTAGCAAAAGCGCTTTTTCCACCAGTTCTGAGAGCTCAGTGTAGTGAGAATCCAACAGCGCTACAAGAACTGAATTGGAATTGATCTGAGATAATGAATTTGAGTTCCCAGAATGCTTCCCCCTTGAATTTTCTTGCAATGCACTACTCGAAATCACAAGAACAGCGAAGAATGTCAAGAAAAGGGGTAGAAAAACGCCACGGATCTGAAAAACCATGGCGCTAGAAGACTTTCAGTTTCTCACTCCTAAAAAAAATTCTTTGCTGTTTCTCTCTCTCTCTCTCTCTAGACAGAATGGTATTTGCAGGGTTCTTTGAAGAGTGTGTGAAAATGGGTAATGTGAGTAGAAATTAGGACATGGGATTTAATTAAAAGGAAGAAGAATAAGGAATAAGGATTGCTTAGGGATTAAAAAGGCAAAGAGACAGGTGTAGAAGGAGAGTGAGAGGCTTAAACTGGAATTAAATTCATGAATCAGACCTTTTTGTGTGTGCTTGGGACAGGCTGGAAGAGGGACCACACGGAAACTGGCGCTGTCTTGATTCACTCGGGGATTTGGCGGTGGTTGGCTTAGCTGCCCTGTTGCGAAATGGTGGATTAAGCCCCCACTTTGGCCACCATTTTTTTCAAATATTAATGTTCGAAATAATTTTTTTTTTAAATGAGTAATCGAAAAAAAAAATAAAAAATTTTCGATTTACGTACAATATTATTTTATGAAAGATTGTGTGATTCAAAATAAGAGAGAAAAAAATAAAAAAAATGATGCTACCAAAAATCGTACATGTTGATTTCCCAAACTTGAAGACTTTGAATGAACACGATCGTAGTCTTTTGGTACCTGAAACAAAGGCAATGAAGTGTGTTCCCGTCGCCCCTCCAATACTTAAGTCAGAAAGGAAATTATATGCGTGAGACTATATACTGGAAATAATGAAAACGTACCTAAATAATGATCCGATGTTCTATATTTATAGAGGTGGGTGGCGTTCTCCTTGTAGGACTCAACTAGCTCAGTATCTCTATCCTACGGAGTCCTATTAGGTGAAGAAGTTGGACCAATGCCGTGATTATGTACAGGATAGAGTCCTTGCCAGAGTCAAATACTGAAGTAGTATGGTAGAGTTAAGAGTCTCAATTACATAGAAATCCTATTAAGTCAATAATAACAGTCGTAGGCTACGAGGGGAATCTATCCCTAAGACTACTCATGCTCGAGGACGTGGATCGTGAAATGTGGATACCATGAGGCTGATAGTGCTCGAGCATTGTATCCCGAGGATGTCCAATGCTCGAGCACAACGGATGTGGAATCGCAGGGGGGCTGAGAAAGGTCCTTGGGATAAAACGTTCGAGCATAACTAAAACCTACTATATCAAACAAGAATGAGAGTCAAACGAGGGCTAAATAATATCAAAATCAATGTTTTAAAAATCAGATCGAACCAGCACCAGAAAAATTGAGAATCAGATCATAATGGGTCTGGTTATGCCTATAAAATCTCTAAATAAAATTTGTCCCAAAACTTGTTAAACCGGTCAGTTTTTGGAAAACCCTGTTTCCGATTTAGCCAATTCAACGTATGTAAATTTGAATTTTATTAAGTTTTTATATGTGTATTTTTTTAATTTTTGTAAATTTATATTCTTTTAATTTTTTAAAAATTATCGGTTCGACCTCTGTTCAACATTTTGATCCTTGACCTTTCTTTTTTCAGATCGGATCGATTTTTAAAATATTGATCAAAATATTATTTATTAAACTCTTCNATTCTTTAGATATTTTTACACTCTCTCTATCTTCCATTTCTCTCTCTAGAGCTCAGGTTGAAACCCTATCTACTCTCTCCATACTACTATTTAAATCTATCACAATTAGACATTAAAGATTTTAGTACAATTAGTAAGTCGACCTAATTATAGTTAGTAATACAAAAATTCAAAAGAGACTAGATGTGTCTAAGTTGTAAAATGTCGAGCATAAGATAACATAGTTATTAAGTCGATCACGTGCCACAACTCTAAATTTATCAGAGTGAACTATTTAAAGATTTGGCATTCTCCAAATCAATAAGCGTAAATTTTCATCCATCTCATCTACTTTTTACTTATAAAAGCATTCGAAGTTTTCTCGATGCAAGACAGCTAATATAAAAATATGCAACAATTTAGTATTGAGATCAAAAGATCATAAAATTCTTATGAAACTTTAAGACATCACTGCATGATTATAGTATATACATACACAGAATGAAAGTTAATGTTAATATTAAACAAGAAAAGAATAATTCTTGGTGTAAATTATCCGACGCCCCTCCAATAGGGGGCGCATGTTGGGAATCTACTTAACATGCACAGCGAAAAATTAAAACAGATTTCGATTCCCACCAGGAATCTTTTTGTGTTTAAATAGAAATTGTAAAAAGATTGTACCTTTTCCAGATCTGCAAACTTCTTTGCTATTCTTTTCGTTCCAGCAATCTTGATTCCTCATCCACAACTGTCCAATTGTCCAACCTCCAACGGTGATCCACACAGAGAATAAGATTGCAACTACCAGGGTTTTCTCTTCTTGTGCTAGCAAGAATAATTATGAGAAAAACATATGGATTGAAAACTCTAACCATGTATTTATATAAGCCCAAACGGGCCTGACATGAACCAGTCTAATATTTAATTAATTCATTTAATTAATTCGGACCGTCCAATTAATTATTTTATCCAATGATTGTTAAATTAATTAATTGACAAATTGCAATCTTCCAATTCTCTTTTGTGTGCGACCCATCAGGTTCCCGATCACGATACCTAACGACGTGAAATATTATTTTAATCTAATCAAAATTGATAAATTAAAACACCCTTTTAATTTATCATCAATTCACACTCGTCGTCCCAAATTGACATCTAGCAATGTGTCAAGGCAATACATGTGACGGAAAATATCATGTTGTATGATAAAATCAAACTTGTTCGTTTACCGCGAAACTATAATCCCTTCGTCAATATGATCCGATCAATTACGAGATATGAAAGTGTGTCAGTCTCGATTATCGATCATATCTTTCACCCCACTATTAAGTCAATATAAGTCGAAAATTCATTTTCGACTTATGAGTACACCTTGGCCAATGATTTCGTTATCGACTTAATTGAATGAAACGCAGATCATGATCTCTTACTATCTAAGAGTGACGAATCCTCTATTGATCATTCATAACCTTCATATGATTATTAACATACTCGAACAATGCCGTATTAGCAGCCATTGGCAGAGCAACATCCAACACCGTTAAAGTATGACCGTCCTCATATGAGGTACTAAGACGACCTCAAGTCAAAAGAACCAATCCCACTATCGAACTTTAGAGATTAACCACTAACACTCAGATAGTTATCTATATGGAATCTTTCGACGGGTCTCCAATGTTTTGTTCTATAATAAAACATCCACGTGTTCATTTAAGTGTCACCACACTTTAACTTGTAAGATGAGCTACTTATTTCATAAGTAAGAAATATCATATGTGATGGTCTATTCGTAATAACGATATCCGTATCTCGTTATTACTTATGACCACGGACGATTTAAAATTCAATCAGATGTAATTTGTATCTCACAATCACAACTTCTTGTGATTAACAAATTACGAAATTTTGAATTTACAGACTCTATTATTTATTTAATTGTCCATTAATTAAATAATAGATCTATCATTAAATTGCAATAATTATATATCAAAAGTATTTATATCCAAAGTTGATTAGACCTAAGGTATAATACTTACAGCGCCATGTGTGCAATATGGCGTATATACAGAATGAAAGTTAATGTCAACATTGAATAAGAAAATAATAATTCTTGGTGTACATTACCCGACGCCCCTCCAATAGGGGGCGTCAAGTGTGCATTATGAACACCATAATGTACACCGAGTACATCTGAAAAAGAATAATGTATGTAACGTTACCTACTATATATTTTGGACGGACATCATGTGTGCATTATGGACATCATAATGTATACCAAGCACATCTGGAAAAGAATAATGTATGTGATGTTACCTATTGTATATTTTTCCCTTTGTTAAATATAAGTATATACTAATTATTATTTATTAAAAAAAAAAAAAAAAAAAACCTCCCAACTTTAACGGAGTGATAAAACCCTGAAAATGCTTAAAAGGGATCAGAGACAACAGGATTGCGGAGGATTCCATGGGTGCAGGGACACCAAAGATACACTCTCTCCAAGCCAAGCCAAGCCAAGAGCTGCCACGTGAAGCGGCTCCAGAACAGAAGCCGAGTGTCGGTCGTGACCTCAGCAAAGGCGGAAGTCAAGCTGTCGCCTTCTGAACATGAATTAAATGCCATCTTTTTTCTCCAGGCTACAAAGCCTACGTTCTTTTCGTAGCGCGTGTGATGCGTGTCAACTGTGATGGGAACATTTTTCCATTATACAAGGATCTTTTGTCATCAATTACGCCCAGTTTGATTCTCATTAAATTACAGTCCATAACATTTTATTTTTTTCTCTTTTATTTTTAATCACATAATTTTTCATAAAATAATATTACACGTAAATCAAAAAAATTTTCTTCTTTTTTAACCATTCATTTTTTCATCAAAATACTATTCCTCTCATTCTCATTACCAAAAATAGGGGCCAAACGAGGGCTACATCTCCTCGTGCCATTTTGTCTTTGCTTCATAACCCTTCTACATTTGCTGCACTTCAAACCTCAACATTTGACTATAAATAAAAATATAATAATCTTTTTCAATTAATATATATTATATAAAAAATGCACGACTTTTTAACTGTAATATCGGATTGAATCGGTCGATGGAGATTCGGAGAACGTGTACTACAAAATAAAAAGAAAAAATTAAAATTTAACAAAGACGAAGACAAAGACATGAACTTGAACTCTAATTCATGTTAACAATTTATTTGTCAAATTCCTGTTTTATTGAATAGTATTTAATAGACATAAGTTTTCTTCGCTGAAAATTTGAAAAAAAGAACTACAAAAAAATTGTAAAATTCTTTGAAATTTTCATTCTAGTAAAGATTAGAGAGTTTTGAATAATTTTTTTTTATTTATTTAGCCCTTGTTTGAGCCCCATTTTGAGGGAGATAATGAATTTTTGAATAATGTATTGATGGAAAATTGGTGGTTAAAAAATAAAAAAAGTTTAAATTTGCGTGTAATATTATTTTATTGAAGAATATATGATTAAAATAATATTAAAATACTGTTAAAAATGTATTTTTTTTCTCAAAAGAATGGAGTTTATTATATTATTTTGGCGAATCACTTTCTTGTAAATGTGTCATATCATATATGTCAATTTAATTTAAAAACACCAAACTCAGTTTGAGTTAAAATTATATAATACATAATTGTTGCCGATTATGTCGGTTGCCAAATTGCATTTAATAGCGAAAG